GACATGAGCCTAATACATCGGCCAAAGAAGTTTTTTAAAGCTACCATTGCTCACTACAATTTCCTGCTATCAGTCAGATGATGAACTCAATAGGTAAAGAGCTTTTTATTTTTTTATTCCCAGCATAGGCATGGTAGATTTTTGGGAAGTCAATCTACTGTCTTTATTGCTTTTGCCACCTCATTTTAGGCAGACCATGTTAAACATTTCAGACAGACGAACTTCTGACTTTTATTCTTCAAGTTATAATAAAGCATAGTTCTAACTCTTATCTGAGATGAAGAATATTTTCTATAATCCTTTTCAAAAAACTTCTTCAGACACATGAAAATCCTTCTCAATTCTCCTTCAACCATTTCTTCTTGGTTCTCTTAATCCTCCCAAGAGTCTTAACATTCCAATATTTTGCATGATCTTCAGGATCTCGTCTAAGTTTTCCATATTCCCTTTAAGTTTTAAAAATCAAAAGTAGATAATTTAATGTATGGCAGAATTTAAGAGGATTAAGTCAGTTATTACATGGTAAATTTCAATTTATACCCTTTTGATGTTCTTGCTTTATAAGGTTAAAAAAAAAAACCCTGTTGCCATCGAGTTGATTCCAACTCGTATCAACCCTGTAAGACAGAGTAGAACTGCTCCACAGGGTTTCCAAGGAGCAGCTAGTGGATTCAAACTGCCGACCTTTTAGTTAGCACCCGAGCCCTTAACCACTGCACCACCAGCATTCCTTATAAGGTAAAGGGCTATATTTTTGGCTTGGGTATCCACTTTGAACTCCTAATCTTTTTCTTCCACAACGATGTAAAATTATAGTTTTTCCGTATTTTATATTATTATATTTATTTTTCTCCAAGGTTGACTGCTCTGCATGTGGTCATATGCAATTTTTTTTGTTGTTTCTGACCACTTGTCATATTCATCAGGGTAATTTGGAATTTCATTTATTTCATTTTATAATTTCAGCAGTTTCACTGAAAAAAACTGAGTAACAAAATTTCATGATGATGTGTGTATGGACTTCACTCCAAATTGGTACTGATCCAATTCTTTGACCTATTGTAAATCCTTCTAATATATTCTAAGCCTACTGCTAACGTAAACGTTGGTGGTTTGAACCCACCCAGTGATACTGTGGAAGACAGGTGTGGTGATCTGCTTCCATTAAGATGAACAGCCAAAAAAAAAAAAAAACCCTATGGAGCAGTTCTACTTTGTAACACATGGGGTCGCCAAGGGTCAGAATCACCTCAACAGCAACTAACAAAAACAACAAGGGCATGATCCTTTCAGAAGTGACATGTCAAACTTTATTTGCTTTTTGTAGGATGGGGAAGAGGGAGGCAAAGCAGATGCTAACACGCTTCCATTACAACTTCTTTCAGGTCTTCAAGGGTCCCCTTTGGATCACCATAAGGCTTACCATTCTAACACCTAAAGGCTGCCTTTTTAACCAGAATCACTTGACAGCAAACTGAATGTAAAAAACAGAATTGATAAAATGAGAAGAGAATAGGAGCGGGATGGGGACGTTACGAGCCTTTAGGAGGTAAGAAAGAAGTAAAGCCCACCTTTACACCCATTTGACTATTTGGCATACTGCCAATATCCATGGCCATTCACTTAAGCCTCAAAAATCACTGAACCCTGCACCAGACAACATTTTTCCACTTTACTGTAGTTGCCCAGTTTGCTAATTTGATATAACCATATTTTGAGGTCAAGGTCATATGCTTGATTCCTATGAGTCAAGCGCACTAGTTTCGTGGTCAAAAACTTGTCTTTTAACACCAGCCTCTCAAAAACACCACCACTTGTTCTAAAGGGATTCAGGAAAGAGGGTATGAACCAATCGATGTAAATCTATCACCTTCAATGGAAAAATGACCAGGATAACCTGGCCTGGGAGTCAGCCCATAGGGCAATCTCCTTTAGAAAGAGCTCTTTGGGTTTCAGGATCAGACATATGTAGGTAAAGAAGCCAAGCTCTGCTACTTACTAGCTCTCTGTGAGACCTTGGACAAGTTCATTTTTCAGAGCTTTAAAGATAAACACATTAAGGGTTTCAAATAGTTTGGTATATAAAGGATGCTCAGGCGATGGTGGCCCTGGTCTCTTCCCCAGTAGTTAAAAAACACAACTATTAGAGCCAGGCCCACTTCTGTCCCAATCCCGGTTTTGCCACATACCAGCTGTGAAAGACTGGAAAAGTTATAGTCTCAGCTTTCTCTAAAAGCTAGAAGAATTAAGAAAATACAGCGAATATCATTTTTTTAAATTTCTTTTTAATTGTTAATAAGATAATTATCTTTTACTATATGTTGATCTTCCAGACAATGTTTCTCAAAGAGTGGTCACGGAACTACCTACATCAGAATGACCTGGGATGTCTGTTAAAAAAACAGATCCCATGTCCCATCCTGACCTATTCAAAAAAGCTATGCAAGAATTCTACCAGTGATTGTTCATTTCTGAATCAAACTTCCTTGAGATGTATACTAAAATTTAAGAATTACTGATCCAGCAGGTCCTTCTGCTATGTCACAGTAAAGTAAGACTTGCCTTCTAGCACTTGTTCTTTACAACAACAGGAGAATATCCAAAGTATTAGTATTTTGGCACTTTTCTGGATATGAACACTAAAAAGATATGATTATAATTTCTAGGCTCAGTCTTATTCTTCCCCTACTGGCACTCTTCTTTTTCCTCTGACCAGGAGTAGACAACGATGGCCTTGGGCTGCAGCCAGTTTTATACAACCCCAAACCCAGAGCTAAGAATGGTTTTTACATGTTTAAAGGGCTATAAAAAGAAATAAAGAAGAATGTTCAATCAAGATCATATATGATTCAAAATACTTACTACCTGGCCTATTATAAAAAGTTTATCCACCGCTTTGTTGCCTATCATTGTCTTTTAAAGTGCGGGTGTAAACACAATTGACTTTTTTCTTTTAGTGAGAGAGAACTGGTGAGAATAGAAGATATCAGAAAGCACTGCACCTACTAGAGAAAAATGTTGTTACTAAAGATTCTATTGTACATATATACACATATGTGAATTGGATCATGACCAAATTATACTGGGTGCACTCAAAAGTTTCAAAATCCCGGGGGGTAGGGTTGGGGAATAAACAGTACAATGGGTCAACAAAGAAACAAACTCACACTAAGTAATTTTTACAGTAAAGATGTCTTGGAGTAGACAGAAACATAAAATGATCCCTGCTATTTAAAAGTGAACAGTTTATTTCTTTTTCTGCAGAATGGAAATAAAATCTGTTCTGCATACAATATACATTATTGTAAGGGATAAAATGGAATCATCAATTCAAAGTACTTCAAAAGCATGATGCAAAGTATTATCAGCTATATTAACAATATATGTCAAACATATCTAGGTTCTTTACCAAGTCCCTTAGTTTCTAGATTCCTCCAGCCTGGGGAACGATCTCATGTGTCCGAGCTCGTGTGCGCGCGCGCGCCAGAGAACAGAGGTACAGTATTAGATGCTTCTGCCCTTTCTGCATCATGCATTATTGGCTTCTCCTGCCCATCTATTTAAAATATATACTCCTTTATCCTTTTCTTGTTTTTAGTAAGAAATGCATTTGATAAATTCTTGTGCAAAAAAAAAAAAATAGTTAAGACTATGATTACTCTATCCTGGGAAACACTAGAAGCCCAAAATTACAAATGTTAAAGTTAACAACCTTCCTTTTTATCCTCACAGAGCGCTAATTTCTAGGATTTGTGTAACTGCTTTGGACAAGTTAAAATTACATTAATTTTATAACCCATTTCAACATGAAATTCTGCAAAGAAAAGAAACACCTTCCTAGGAACATATACAAGAAAATGAAATGATGCCTTAAAATGTTTTCATTATATGGAATGCACTGCAGACACACAAACCACAAGTAGTGTAAATAAATAAAAGCTGATGAAATGCTGCCAGTATGTTTACCTTATACCACAAAGAGAAAATACTTGCACATTTACACACTATGGTATTTTAGTTAGAGATGCCATAAAGATGGGATTTAGTCATGTTGTGTAAATACAGGAGGTTGTGAGTGTGTGTGTGTGTTGAGGAAGGAGGATTGTAAGTATAAGGGGAGGGACTTGCCAGGAGCAGCTATTTGAAAAAATTATTTTTTCCTTCCCATTCATTCTTTTTAGCTTCAGTGTCTAGCACAGTCTTAACAATTACTTACTAGTTGTTCGTTCTAAAGACAACCAACAACGTTTCAGAACTTCCTACAGTGTTTTCCACACACACTGAAAAAAAAAAAAGCACCAAATCATTCAATATGTTTTTTAAATAAAAAGCAGATAATTACCCCCTTTTCCAAAGACCCCATGGGTCGCAGGCTAAGTAGGATCCTTTCTTCTGAGTCCAAAAATAACACAGCGCAATGGCGGTAAATTGGAAAATAACAGATTACTTTGTTGCCAAGAATGTCAAAGCTATTACTATAAATTTTGTTTTGCCCCAGTAAGTCCAATTTCATGCTCCTTTTAGTGACTCTCCCACCCTAACAACAATAAGGCCAATCAAACGTAACAGCCCTCGCCTATTATCTTTGGACACTCCATTAACAAATACAACCGCAGAAAAGCACGCCAAGAGGACCAATTTCCTTTATGCACAATGGTACCCATCAAGAGCAGTATGTTCAACCACAGCGAAAGTTGTCTTCCCATCAGATGCCCACCCCAAACCGGCCCACCTCTGCCTTGGTGCCCAGAAGGAGAGGGGGCAGATGGGCGGGGAGAACAGTACCTTTTAGCTCACCCACCTCCCCAGGAGGAGAAGTGGGGAGGGCATGCCGAGAGTAGGAAGGCGGCGAGTGGGAGACAGAAATGGATGCTGAGGGGGTGGGCGTGATGGGAAGCTAGCAAAGGTAGAGAACGCGGGGAGAGGTGGGGAAGGCAAGCTGCAAGATTAAAGAGCAAAGCGGGGAATGGCAATCGGGGGCGAGGGAATCCGGGCCTCACCGTTGAACGCCCCTGAGTCCGCGGCCTCCTCCTCCTCCCCGTTTTCGGAGTCGGCGTGCATAGGCTCCTCAGCGAAGTTGACTCCCTTGCTGGGGGTGCCGCCCCCGGCGGCAGCCCCCGCGTCCCCCCAGGTCCTGCCCTCATGGCCGAAGCGCGCGGCGCCTTTGCGCTCGTTCTCCTGCTGCAGGCGCGTGAAGTGCTGCAGGGCGAACTCCAGCAGGTCCGCGGGCTGGCGCCTCAGCACCTCCACCGTGAAGCCCTGCAACAGCTCCGTCAGCCCCGCTGGAATCTCGATGCTCATCCTGCCTCCGGGGCGGCGGGCGCCTGGGCGCCGAGTCCCTGGGGTCCCCCCCGCGGGCGGCCGCCTCCCTCGCCCCTTCCCCGGCCCGGCCTCGGCGCGATCAGCGGCGAGCGCTGCGCACTGGGGCCCGGCTAGCCCGGCCCGCGGCTCCTGGCGCGCGGTTGCTCCGTGCAGCAGCTGCGGCGGCTGAGCAAGCAGGGCCCCGGGAGGGCTGGCAGCATCTCCGACTCCTCCCGCTCCCGCTGCCGCTTCAGCAATCCCCCACAAGGGCCGCCCCGCCCCCGCCCCGCCGCGGCGCGCCCACGTGACCCCGGAAACCATGGCAACCCCGTCGACCAGCGCCGCGATCCTGCCACTCGGACGGCCGCCGGGCGGAGGACGTTGGCGAGCGCTGGTGTGCTGGAAGGCGCGCTGCTGGCACGTGCACCGGCCTAGAGGCCGCCAGTCAGCACAACTGCCGGTGCCCCCGCGAGCCACTTCTCACTGTTCCCTGTCCACACGCCCCGGAGCGGACGGTCCACGCACCCGAATTCCCACATGTCATCCACCATCGTGAACCACGCAGAGCTACGGCCACGCGAGTTGCCCTGAAACCTCAGCCTCCACCTCGGTAGTGGCGTTTTGTTTTCCTCCTAGAATCTAGTTGTACTGTTAAGTGTTGGTAATATCTTTTGTTTAAATTCATACAGTAGTGTTGGTTCTCTTTCAGACAAAGAAATGCTACTCCATCATAGTGACGTCTTTCTAACTTTTCCTTTCACCTCATTTTATCTAGCTTTTCCCCATCCATCCCGTTTACTTTTTTTGCTTTACTGATAACTATTCTATTGTGCTCTCGAAGCACAATATGAAGCACATGTAATATGTACTGAAACAACTACATCATTTATTGTGAGTCAATTATCAAAGTTAGGGATGCCCTTCAAAAAGAATAGTACAGCAACTTGAATAAAATGTCATAATCAGGACAGATGGTCATTAGGCAAAAAAAAGCTTTGCCTGACAGGCTGTTACTGTTTATTAAAAACTTTCCCATACAGTTTGAGTGATTCTGAATTATATCTCCAAAAATAGGAATACTTCAATATAAAGAGAAATAGAATTACAAACGTCTGCTTTTAAAGTAAAAGTGCTTGATTTTGACATGAGGCTTATTCGGCAGGCATTTACAGTTTTGAATTAGAGAAAACTGTCTTTTGCTATTTAAGTACACATACTTCATTTCTACATTGACCACCATATCACTGTAAATAAAATAATTCAGGTGCAAGTTCACTTAGTCATTTTGGTTTATGTTTCCACCCACACAAAAGAGTAAATACATGACTCACAAAACTCAAAAACTGAAAAGCAAGAAGCAATTAAGTAGTCTGTTTTAAAAAATGCATCTGGGTATTAACCCTTCCTTTCTTTATAATCCAACTTGTATTCACTCTATCAGTGGATATATTTCTCTATTTCCATTTCTTAACAATCCGATAATAATAATGTTATGTTGGTTTTTAAATATACTACAGTGCTTCTAATTGTGTCAAACATTATAAGAAAGTAAGCTTTTATAAAATACCATTACCCTCACATGTCACTGGTTGGAAAACAATATTAAATTCTTCACCATATAAGCAGCATTTTCTTTACAGATCCAGTTATCTAAGATGAATTTGCATCGTTAGTTTTCATTTATGATGATGGTTGTAGTAAGATTAGCATTGCCTGCATGTGGCAGAAAATGCAAAATGTAATCGCTTAAACAAAATAGAAGTTTATTTCTCTGTAATGTAAACGTAGGCAGTTCAGATCTGGTATGGTGACTCTGTGATCATCAGGGACCCAGGCTCCTTTGTTCTGTAAACCTCATTTGTGACTTCTACCTCAAGGTCCAAAATGGACACCCACCTCCATTTTCATCTATATTTCAGCCAAGAGGAAAGTGGAAAAGGGAAGGAAAGTCCCTCTCTACCACACATACACCCTTAACGGACACTTCTAGGAAGTTAAACACCAATTCTTCATATCCTTTTAGCAAGAATTTAGTCACATGGCCACACCCATGGTGTGGTAGATTGAATTTTCCAAAGATGGCTACAACAGTATCTCCTATCCCATCAGCTCTTCTACATCTGCTCTTGTCCCACTCCCATCAAGAGTTGAAGTCTAATTCCCCTCCCTTTGAATCTAGATAGGCTTGTGACTGCTTCGACCAATAGCACATGATAGAATTCACACTAGCATGACAGAAGAAGCAAGCCATATGGTGTGCTGTCTGAAGTCCTGATCCACAGAACCCATAAGCATAATGAAAAAGTTGTTTTAAGCCTCCATGTTTTGGAGGTAATTTGTTACACAGCGAAAGTAACTAAAACACATGGCTATACTGGAAGTTTGGGAATATAATCTTTATTCTGAGCAGTCATGTACCCAGCAAACATTTGAGGGTTAAGAAAAACCAATTTCAGGGACAATTACCCATCTCTGACCAATGTTTAACACCTTTCCCCCCAGGAATGACCGAAGAAAAAAGCATTACTTTTAAAGCTGTAGCCTACATTTTGTGTTCCAAACTGCATTTATTCCTTTTTGTAGATGTAGTGTATGATGACTAGTAGATGGCTTTCTGCCATCAACTACAATGCCAGGGTGGTGTGACCCTCATTTCTTTAGGACTATGGAAGTGACTTAATCATGAAATGCATAATTGGATTATACAGACTGTATGGATCCCTGGTGGCACAGTGGTTAAGCACTCAACTGCTCACCGTAAGGTCGATGGTTCAAACCTACCAGCTGCTCCATGGAAGAAAAGACCTGGCAATCTGCTTCTGTAAAGATTTCAGACTAGGAAATCCTATGGGGCAGTTCTACTGAGTCCTGTAGGGTCGCTATGAATTGGAATCGACTTGACGGCACTCAACAACAGCAGCAACGGTCTCTCCGAGCCTAGGAGATTCTATAATATTAAAAGAAGACATATTGAATTTAAAACATCTTCATAAACAGCTGTCTGATAACAATTTTTATTTACATCAGTTCTTAAATCAGTAACCACGACCTGAAGAAGTAAATGTTGGTCCTGATATGTTCACTTCTCAAATTGTATTCTGACTTTTATTCAGTAAGACATAACCTTTTCTGTATATTGTAAGATTTTCTTTGCTTTCATTTTCAGCATATTTCCTTTTGAACTTTGGAATGCAGTGACAGTGGTTTATGGAGACTATTCATCTTGAATTCTTTGAAAGAACATCACTGATATTGATTACTTGGTTGTTGATTTACAAAGCAATTTGCGCTAGTTTCTCAGAGAATCAGACCAGAAGCAATTGCAGAAGAACTCCAAGAGCTAAGAATGAAATAAGAGTACTGCAAAATTTGTTTCCACACATGGGAGATTAAACAGATATTAGAGACATCAGCTTGTTTATATGAAGCTGTCAAAACAAGACCACAGAGTGGGCAAGCCAATGGTTTGGGCAAGCTTTACAATGTACAGTAGTAAGTCTAACTAGTCAATTATGCAGCATTTCATATCAATAGTTAAGATGTATCTTAAGTGCAAAATATATACACTCACTCAGGGGTGGAGGAGTAGGCAATTGAAAGGGTACACAAGGGCTGTACTTGCATAGGGACCACTGTGGCCATCAATCTCAGTTTCATATACCTTTAGGAGTTCAGCACTGACTATCATTTTGGTGTCTCTAATTCAGATTCTCAAGAGAGAGAAGCCAGTTGGTCTTCACCACCCAATGGACTGGCTGACTTTGAGTGAGGGGTCCTCTCCTGAGAGTTCAGTATGGCCAGTGGGATGCCAGATGAAGTGGTCAGGTAGACTAAATACATGACAAAGTCTGCCTCTTAAGCAAAGAGAAAAATCCCAAATATAGGGACTCTAGAAGGTACAGGCACCCTACAGGTCTACTAACAGATAGTCGCCTAATAGCCTGGTAATCTTATAAACATTTGGTCTAAGACTAAGTAAAAATGGTAATCTGTATAATCCCCTACCCTGAGTGTGGGTAGGCTCTGCAGCTTCCTTCTAGCCAGTAGAATATGGCAAAAGTGAAAGGCTTTGCAGATAAATTAAGGTACTAAAGCAGTTGATTTTGAATTAATCAAAAGGAAGATATCCAGTGTGGGCCTGACTTAATCAGGTGAAAGCCCCTTAAAGTGGGACTGGGCCCTCCCTGAAGTGAGACATTCTCCTTGTTTGCTTGATAAAGTTAGCATCCATGTTGAAGAAGCCCATGTGAAACACTTTCTTCACTTAACTTCCAGACACCACTTTTTCTTGGTTCTTCTAGCTCCCTGGCCACATCTTCTTAGTCTCCACTACTGGATGGATATGTCTCATCCTTCTGACCTTTAAATATTTAAGCACTCTAGATCCCCTCTGTCTCTTCACTCATTCCCTAGGTAATCTTATAAATTCCAATGGTTTTAAACACCATTTATATGCTGATAATTCCCAAATTTATACCTCCAACCCTATCCTCTCTCTGAACTCCGTATTTCTATATCCATCTGCCTTGAGGTGTCTAAGAGGCACCTCAAGCTTACCATGTCCAACTGTGGTGCAGTTGATCACTTTTATATGGCTTTCTTGCCATGATCGTGTAACTCCCACCAAATGATTGGATGGGACTGTGCAAATAACGTGCTTGTGGCCCACCACTGGGATTGGATAGCTTGCTAATAATGCAAATAAGGTACCTGACACCCTTGTGGGGATGGGACTGTGCAAATAAGGTGTATGGAACCCTAACGAGGGAATTGGTCAGTTTTGCTATCCCACTAGGCTTAAAGGGAGATCCAGGAGATGGAGAGAGCGAGCTGTAACACAGAAAACAGTGAGAGAAGGCTGTGCGAGACAGCAGGAACCAGGAGACCGGCAGGTAATGGCTGTGGTGGGGCTTACTGACCCATGGAGCTAAGAGGTGTAATGCTTGCCCAAGAAGGCCCCCCCAGCCAGGCCTGGCAGCAGAAGGCGAGAAGAAGCTGTCCTGATTGAGGAATTGCATCCTGAGTTATTGTTCCTCTTACTTCAAGTTGATCCTGACTCTGAGTTGTACCCTGTTACTTCCCTAATAAATCGCTTAACT